CCAATCACAGCGCGCGTACTAACTGAGAGGTATAATAAGTCCCTATAAGTCGAAATTTATATATGTTATTTGGCGGCTGGTCTTGAAATTGCTGCCCTCGGCCTGCTGCCTCGGGCAACATTTTCAAGCCCGAGCTTACATAGAATAGGAATAATTTTAAATTCAATTGTCCCTCGCAGGGTCCGCTTGAAAGCTGCATTCTCGACAAGTTCGTCTTTACTGTATTCCAAATATTACCATGCTATAACGCTTTTTTGGTAACTTGTTTTTTGTCATTATTGCTTGAATGTTCAGCCGAAATCATCCTAACCTCCTTGTTAATCCTTAGGTATGCCTTTCAACATTTTTAAAGTTGAAGTGCAAGGGGCCAAGGATGCGAAAGAATGGCCTTACAAGTTTTGCCTTAGTTACAGTCTTAATCAGAGTCAGTTTACTGAAGCAAGAACCCAGGAATCATCGTGCTCGGTAAGGCATCTTTTTTTGTTCTTTTGTGGAGATCGTACATCATCTCATTACAGGAGCCGAGTAGATGTAACCTCAAGAGAGTTTGAAGTGAAATATCAGTCACCGGCGAAAGACCGTGTTTGACAACGTTTTCAAATACCGAGGAGAAATGAAAATACGGCTCGCGGCGGATTATTTTTGACAAATGTCGATGTGTTGGAAATGTGGTTTAACTCTGTCTTCATCTCTTGATATACCTTTACAATCGAAGCAAAAACTAAGGAGAAAACGGAGAAATACAATCGTAAAATGTCAATACTATTTAAGGTCAGCTATCCAAACATTGTCACGGTCATGATCTAATTTGTTTAAAGGAGCTCGCGCATCTTGAAAAGTCTAGCGTCAGTTTTTCAAGTTTGTCGTTGTTAATCCGTGTCAATCTTCTCCATACGAAACCATCCGTGTTCCTCCATGGTTTAGTATTATCTCTTTGTTGTTTTTCTATCTTAGAAAACTACTATTTTCAGATTTTCTTTTTTAAAGGCTATTTTTCATGTAGCCAAAACAACTTGATGAATTATTAATGAGTTTGAGAAATAATGACGACTACTACGACGTCGTGGGAAACATCTATGTACATACATAAAAGTGTTTATAGCGACGAAATGTTAAAAAGAAAAAACATGCAAAAGGAAAATCATGCGGAAATTTTGCTTTCTGAGCCGTGAAAAGGAGTAAAAAAGTTAAAAGTACGAGGACAGCCGATAGCTTCACGAAAACGTTTCCAAAATGACCGCGCACTTTAATGGAAGGAATGGAACTGAGACTGCTTCGTGACGACATTGTTGTCTTGACTGATTGCTGCGTTTCAGCGTCAGTGAGTCTTTCGTGGGGTAAGTTTTGAATCTAAATACAAACCTTATTTTATTAAGGAAATTGCCGAGAAGTTCGTCCGCTGTTCAGCGGGCATTATTCGCTTGTTTTTCGTTGTTTTTGTCCAATTGCCAGCTTACAACGTTCCAATGTGAAGTTAAAAATCGTCGGTACCCCGTCTATCTTGACTTCAAATTGACGAAGCTTGAAAGAGGGTCCCAACAAATTCCTAACTACAAGATTTTGTTCGAGGCTGTCTTCGGCAAAGTGTTTTACACAAACGCGCGAATGCTTCTAGGGCATGAAGCATTCTCTTTTAGCTTTCCACAAAATTTTAACGGTTATACTTTTGAAAATGCATGTTGACTAGCATACGAAGCGTCAAGTTCATAAAATGCATGTTTTTAAAATTTGAACTTGAAACCAAAACAGTTTCAAATTTCCCGCATTTCTTGAGCTCACCAACTGTGACGTCACAAGTTTTATTTCCGACAATTATCCGACAATTTTCCCGACCGCTCTACGATTTTCAAGGATAAAAAACAGTGATTTTAACATTCCAATATCTCAGCAATGCTTCGTTCAATTCGATTGAAACTTCAGAATATGTTTATTTTATACTTAATGAACACATTGAACTCAATGAATAAAAAAGGTCTAAATTTTGGTTAATTTGACCTTTAAGACTGGTAAATAAATGTCAATGAAAGCAAAAGCCTTTAGAAATTCTCGTGAAATCTCGTCTAAGAGAGGACTTATTTCATTTCTCAGTGCTGAAAAGTTTCGTCAAGTCCGTCTTTCTTCGCAATTCGTTAACATCTCTTTTGCACCATACTGTGCGCTTTACCACTTTCAAACAGTCAATGGTACTTGATTTGATCATAATCTCAATTGTGTTACCTAAACTCTCTGAGTGTTATAGAAATTGATCTTCTCGGGTCATGCAGGTTTCCACAGAGAACCGAAAACAATGTACCAGTGAGATGTAAGAACCATTGCACTTTTTCTTGTTTTCGTTTTGGTTAACTTGATTTGCATAAAATATCCATTATCCAAACAAAGAGTAATTTTTCACCGTCTGAGTGAAACAAAATAAGTGAAAAAATATTTTTCTCACACACCACTGGGGCCTGGGTACAGGCCATGTGACCTGTGGGTCGGGTAGTTGTTTCTGTTGCGCCGCCATTGCCAGCTTTCTCGCCCACCCACTCAAACATTTTAAGTTTTTATGCAATGCCAGTATTATGTACAAGCCTTGAACATTTGGTTATTTCCATTCTTTAGGGTAGTTTTTTGTTTGTTTGTTTGTTTGTTTGGCCTTTATTTATTTATTTCCACGATTACAACAATTCTTTTTTCAACAATTAAGTTACAGAAGAATGAATAAAGTTTGGTTTACAGAAGTTAACAATGACATCAAATTGAATTCATTAAGGAAATAGATATTGTCAATTCCTATCTACATACTTATTTAACTTAATGATTTTCCTTAATAATAGCGTTGTCCGACTTTAATTATTAGTTAACATTGTTTCCTCAAAAATCTTCCATTTTTCTTTAAATAAACTCGTTTTATCCGATTTGAAATAAATGTATTTTTCAGTCTCATCTTTAATTTGTTTACCAAAATTCTTATGAAGTGGCTCAAGGAGAGTAATGTTTTTCTACATTGACAAGTCCACAAGAGAGATTTTCTTAAAATTACTATATAATTAAATAGATCCATCTCCTCCTCAAAAAATCCAACAATAACATCGGAATATGCATGCGAGAGGCTTCTGCAACTCTTGATTTTACTCATGCCAAAAAAAATTAACCTCATGCCAAAAAGAATTTGGAAAAGAACAACCGAGCAAAATATGGGATATGGTTTCTGTTAGCTGATGACAGAAGCTGCAGTTGGGATTAGAAACGTATCCTATTTTACACAGGCGGTCATTAGTAACAGAACAGAATTCAACACTTTGTACTGAAAGGAGTGTCGATATGGTTCGTTAGCAACCCTCGCTCACTGGCAAAAGAAATGCCTTTGAAACTTGCTTGTCATCAATTCTTTCTTTAGCTAGCTTGACCCATTTACTTGACTTTTTCAATTTTTGTTTTACAAGAAAACAATAATATTAATAGTCATGACATTTAAGACTGAAAATCAAGAATCATTCTTTAGGGTAGTGCTACTTGTATTACCTTTCATTTTACAATAAAGGTCAGGCGGCTGCTGTCAGCTTGATATGTCTTCGTAGCATGTAGAAATAAAGTGTTTGCATATCGATGTATGAGGATACTAGGTTTTAACTCTTGGACTTAAATGCAATGTTAAGACTACTGAAAGTTTTTAATTTTTATAATTTTAAGATGGTGTTATGGTTTATGAANTTTTTTTTGCCAGGATGCAGTCACAAAACAAAAAAAGGCAAATGCTGTGTTTTGCCATTCTTGTATGAAGGCCAACTGGTGTATTCCTGCATCAGAGATAATCATAACCAGCCCTGGTGTGCAACAACTGATAATTACGACAGAGACAAGCTTTGGGACAATTGCCAAGGTACAAAATTATGTATAAACAATTACTCCGCAACCTAAATCTCACACAGAGACACGTACCCAATGCAATTTCCTGTTGTTACGGTACCTGGTTGTCAGGTCATCCGCCTTCAACAGAATTCTATTATCTAAGTTCAAACTATTAACTTCACAAAGCTTTCCTTTTAGAAATACGCTAATGTTTTTGGCAGGGAGCTCTATAACTTAAAGAATGTCAGAAATAGAGAGAGAGAATGTGGAAAATAGCCAAATAGCCCAGTTTGAAGCCCCTGACTGTTTGAATTTTCAGAACCTTTAGAGGAGTTCTACGGAAAATGTTGTTGGAGAGGGCTTATTATCTTCGTAATAACTCTGTTATTAGAACGCTACAGTAAGAAAGAGTTTTAATCTCATACAACACGTTTCTTTTTGCCATTACTACATGGATAATGTGCTACTTTTATTAATGCAAGGAAACAACTNTATCTAAGTTCAAACTATTAACTTCACAAAGCTTTCCTTTTAGAAATATCCTAATGTTTTTGGCAGGGAGCTCTATAACTTAAAGAATGTCAGAAATAGAGAGAGAATGTCGAAAATAGCCAAATAGCCCAGTTTGAGGCCCCTGACTGTTTGAATTTTCAGAACATTTAGAGGAGATCTACGGAAAATGTTGCTGGAGAGGGCTTATTATCACCGTAATAACTCTGTTATTAGAACGCTACAGTAAGAAAGAGTTTTAATCGTATACAACACGTTTCTTTTTGCCATTACTACATGGATAATGTGCTACTTTTATTAATGCAAGGAAACAACTTTTTGTAACAAAGATACCAATAACTACTAATATATATATATATATATATATATTATTAGATGTTTTGGTGTGTAGTATCACTATATATTTCTAGGAGTTGTGCCGTATTTTGACGAGCCCGCAGGGCGATTCAAAACACCAACAACTCGCAAAAATATAAAGCGTTACTACACACCAAAACATCTAATAAGAGATTTATTATCCAACTGCTGTAGTCAATAGACTTATCAATGAAAGAGGGAGAGTGTGAGAGTTTTGCGTGCGCGCGCCAACCTGTACGGCAAACAGGTTTTCTACCGTACAAATAACTGTACAATATCGGTGTATATTTGTACTGTTATTTGGACGGTATTCGCTGCAGTTGGATAATAATCCATGTTATTTTTAAAATGTCAGAGGCGTCCAGTCGCCCATGTCACGCCACGCCCTGTCTTAATGGAGGAACATGCGAAGAAGACTTGATGAAATGGAGTTTTAAGTGTAAATGCAATGACAGATTTGTTGGGGACAGGTGCGAAGATGGTGAGTAGGGGCCGCCTAAATGATAAAGGAGGTACTCTAATTGGAGTTATTCATTAATTTGACTCTTTGTACGTTTTTTTTGCTCAGAACAACACTAAAGAAACTACACTTGAAAGTACCCTACAGATCAGCACTGTTCTAATAGCATTTGTTGATATGTTTAAACAAAGCAAAACAAAACAAAACTTTCAAAAAGATATCTATAAGCTACCGTGTATGTTATGCATTTAAAACAATTTTGTTACTGACTTACTGTTCATGGAATTAACTAAACCCAATCATGACTTAAAACTGTAGGCGAACTCGTTAAAATGATGAGACATGGAAATGCAAAAACAAGGGCGTGAATGGGCAAAACAGGATATTATTGAAACCGATTTTATTGGACTAAGCTTGATAAAGGTCGGCCTATTTTTTCAAGATTATCTGAATGTGTATAGTGTCTTCCTCTGATTTCATGTTTTAACGCTCGTCAAAGTTATTTAAAAGAATAGTAATCGTCAAAATGTCTTCTAGCTTGTATCTTGAAATAACTAATCTAGACAAAATATGTTTTGTTTCCTTTAAAAGGCAAGATCAGGTATCGCATGGAACGTCGTAAAATTCGTTGAAAATTTATGTTGTACTTGTAAAGTTGCTTGTCCAAATAGATACAGGATTTGATGGGAAAAAAATGAGAATTTTCTAAGTTTTTTTACCCTAGATTTTGACGAGTGCCACAACAGCCTTTGTCAGAACGGAGGAACTTGTGTAAACACGTATGGCGACTACAGATGCGAATGTAAGCATGGATACAGCGGCAAGAACTGTCATTTAGGTGAGTACAACTGTTTTGTTACTTGAACATTAAAGATGTCGAGACAACAGAACGATTATTTAAGAACATGTGCAGTGTTTCTATCGAGTTTTAGTAGAATACTTACTAGTATACTAATGCAAATGCTTTAATCTAATTGGCTGAGCCATTGCACACTATCAGCCATGCATTAGAGTGCAGTGGCTAGTGGCTTGGTGTCGTCCACAAACTTGCAACGTCTCCTCGTTTGTCTGAAGTTTTTAAAGAACATTTAGAAACAAATAAATAAACAAAATTCCCGAGAAGACTAAAACGAGGGCGTTAACGGTTTCTTGAATTAAAAAAGCTCTAAAAGTTTTGAAAGAAACTGAGAAGCGCGCGTATTCAACAGCAAATGTCAAATTGACGATTAATTCAGTCCACGCGAATTCTCTAAAGCGTGAAGACCAGAAATAATTGGAATCGTTATTTGAAGGAAATTTAAGTTATAATTCCGGTCTACTAAAACAGTTAGATTATTCTCTCTCGATTTCTATGAGGCGATAGAAATTTCTTATAGAAATCTCGAGCTCTTAATCTAATTGTTAAATAGAAACACGAGTGGAAGTCTTGGAGAACGAGAAACACGAGCCGACATACGAGTGTTTCCACAGCTTATTCCAGTTCTCCCAAACTTTGATGAGTGTTTCTATAACCCGATAGAAGCTCGAAGAACATGTTTTCAATTTCTTTTAGAAAATTCCGCAACGAAAAAGGTAAATTCTCCTTCCCCCCGCCATCATTGTGTTAACAGTTCGTGCCAATTCTGTGCTTCTATCGAGTCATAGAAACACTATTTTAAAGCAATCAGCGCGCTTATTGTCTTTGGATTATTTTCTAAGACTAAATATTTCTGATCTCTAGTTAAACGTTCGCGTGCTTTAAATCTGTAAAAACCTCTATTTAATTTTCAGATTGCAAGTTCAGTGAAATTGAACTTGGATTTCTAGTGGATGGATCGGCGAGTGTGGCGTTCTACGGAGAGGACAACTTCCAGTTGATAAAAGAATCCATGAAGAGTTTCGTTCGTTCGTTCAATGTCTCGAGCTCGACAACACGCGTGGGAGTCATCGTTTACTCCACGAACTCAACTGTGGCATTCACACTGAACCAATACTCAAGTGAGAGAGACATAATAGAGGCCATTGACAACATAACGTATCCTAGCGGAGGGACATACACTGGCCAAGCTCTTAACGAAGCAGCTAAAGTTCTGTTTAGCAATGGAACCGTCCGGGACAATGTGTCCAAAATATTAGTGGTAATTACAGATGGAGTGTCCACCGATGACGTCACAGGGCCGGCAGCGCTCGTCAATGAGACTGGTGTGAACACTTACGTTATTGGGATTGGTCAAAATTACGATCGTTCCCAGCTCTTGCAGATAGCGCATAATGTCCCGGATCATGTATTTCAAGCTGAGTTCAATTCTCTTCAGGTGGCTTTCAGTAGCGTTAGGGAAACAATCTGTCTGGGTAATAGCACTTTCTACATGTAGTTGTTATTTACCTCAGTATTATTTCTCGATATTTACCTTAGTATTAACAAGGGGTTCACTTTTTTCTTCTTACTTTTTTTTTAGCTCTGGACAAGTGTGCAGATAATCCTTGCAGGTTTGGTGGCATTTGCCAAAATGGAGGCAGGAACTGTACTTGTTCTGAAGGTTTCCAGGGTCCAAAATGCTCCGAAGGTTGGTACACAGGCCTGAATGGGACAATTTTGTGTTTCCCAGACTCTGACATTATGGCTAAAAATCAAATCTTGCTAAAGTTCCGCCATCCTCTCTCCCCTCCGAAAAAAATGTAGAAAAATCCTGAAAATACCCTTTAAGGTGCCCCAATTGGGAATAGCCACTTCACTTAGCCGATTCTTACAATCAGAAACGTTTTTATGGGTTTAAATTTATCACAACGTAGTACATGTAGTTTTGCTCTTCTGTTTTTGTGACGTACTGGAAAGTAAACCCATTGGAGCTACGGGGTGGGGTTTCCATATAAAAGTTACGGAGGTGCTCGTCTTCAGGGCTTAAGAAGCAGTTCTGGTACCTCTTAAAGCCGGGAATCCAGCCTCAGAAGGTCTACAGCAAGAGTTTTTTCGGTACTTTTTGAGCCGAAAAAAATATGTCAGAAGATATTTGACAATCAACTTATTCTTCATTGGGCTCATTACAATCGTCTTTATTAACATTAAAAATTATAAAAATGTTAATTAATGCGTTGTTTTAGAATTGGTACCTCTTATGGGTAAAAAAATAAAAACATTCCAAGCCACGCCCACAAAACCTGGGCTAAAGACACGAACACGTCAACAATATTATTATGCATTCGATGACTATTTATTCACCTTTAAGAGTCTCGTTCCTAAGAACACCAAATTAGTGTATTGGCTACCAAAAACAACCGCACACTTGACCTCACAAATTCAGCTCAAACGCTCCACTCGTAACACAATGCATCTGAATACGTCTACTTGTGTCTTTCGTCAGATGTGAAAGAATGCCCAAACGTAAGTGTCAACTGCACCAGTGAAAAACATTGTACGGAAACGTTTGGTGGTTATGAATGTACATGTGCGAACATGTCTTTGTACGGCGAAAATTGCACAAAAGGTGAGTCTGTCGGCTTTTACTGAACTTATTTTGCTTCTTATTATCCTATGCCCAAATAATAGAATGTTCGATCGATTGATCGATTGATTGGCTGTCTGAATGGCCTCTTTTGTTTTAGCCTGCAGCAACGAGTCCACCGTATTGTTCCTCTTGGACAGAGCAAGGAACGTTGGACAAGACAACATAAAACGTCAAGTGGAGTTCATTATATCAGTGGCTTCCACAATCCCTTTCACAAACATCGCAGTTATCTCGTATGCTACCGACGCTGAAATCGTCATCAGACCCGGGCAGTCATCAAACTTCTCCGATTTTGCAGAAACGTTACGAAATGCTAGTTACTCTATGGGTCACATGAAGAATCTTGGTGAAGCGCTCGAGAAAGCGCAGGAAATAACAGAAATCTATAATCACGGCTCCACACCAGCACTTGTGGTAGCGATGATCCTAGGCAAATCTGACGATGACCATTCTGACCATGCTGCAAAACTGAAAGAACGTGGGGTCACCATTGTGGCGATGACCTTAGATAACAGCTCTAGCTTGCCACAGTTGATTCTCTTGACTTCAAACCCGTTAAATGATCACTGGCTTGAAACAAACGTTGCTTCTTTGAAACATTTCATCAGCAATACAAGAAACACGATTTGCCAAGGTATCGTACGACCTGAATTTGATAACCAACGAAATTTGTTCAGCAGAAAAGGATTTTTTTTTTGTTGTTTTTGTTTTGTTTTGTTTTATTAATTTTTGTTTCCTGTCAGTTCTTTACAAAACAAAACAAAAAAATCTGATGGCGTTTCCGTATCGGGCTTTTACAAGATATGGTGAGGGAGGAGCAAAAATAAAGGAAAGGAAGAAAAGTCTTTCTTCCTCTTCTCTTCCCCTCTCCTCTCCCCTCTTCGCCTGATGAAGAGCGGATGCTCGGTTTCACGTCCAAAGAGAAGCAGAGGATATGTTTTGCTTCCCTTTCCTAGTACAGTGGAACCCCGCCTTACGGGCACCCCGTTAGTACGGCAACGTCGTTATTACGGCCATTTTCTTGTGGCCAGACTAAAGTTCAGTTAGTCATTCATGATTATTCAAAGAACCCCTTCAATACGGCCACCCCGTTAATGCGGCCAGATTTTTTTTGGTGGGTTGGTGACCTGTTTATCGAGGTTCCAAGGTATTTTCATTGCTTAACGAGTCTCCCATTTTCTGTAATTTAGCTTGGAATCCATGCAGTACGGCAGTTTGTCCACCACTCCACGAATGCAGAAACAATTATGGGAGAGATGGAGGATTCCGTTGCATTCCACGTAAGTAGATTTCTTCAAAAAAGTAATGATAGTAAAATGGAAAGTAAAACAACAACAGCAACCCTTTGATGGTCTATCCGTAGTTGGTGTGGATCTAGTGAAGAAAGGAGTTGAGTAATTCTAAATGATTTTTCGTAAATGTATCTTTCTTAACAACAACAACAACAACAACAAACCAAGGAGACATTCGAAAGCAATCAAAATGTCTACTATTGTATTTTTAATTCATGGCCAGTATTATCTAGTCTTTTATGATACACAGTGGAGTGTATATACCAAATTGCTAAATACGTACCATTTCCCAATTCAAGTTTGCATAGCTTTTATCTCTTTTATTTTTACTTTTTGTTTTTTGCTTTTTTCCATCTTCTTTATTTTTTTTCTTTTTGAGCCGTTTTGTTTCGAAAGCAATTTTCATTTATTGTGGTTTTCCATTACTACACTTGGGGACTGAAACCTAAACCAATCGTGACTGGCTCACACATGTTTTCCCGCCCCTCGCACGCGCCGGCTGCATAATTATATTGCCTCGACTTTTGATTGGCTCACTTGATTGTCTTTGCCCTCTGTGACAGCCCAGAATAATTTATGTGGTTTTGGTTTTATGGCACGTAATTGAAAATCACTCTACAAGTGTATTCATGAACTAATTATTAATTTCCTTTGAAGTCCAGTAAGCCATCACAACCTCTTTAGTGGGTTTGGACTTACAAGTTTCAATATACACTTACCCCGAAACTTAGACAATATGATTTAGTTGTCACGTCTTATTTAACCTGATCTTAGTTTGGTGAAATAGAGAAAAGAGTTCATTTTATCACCAAAGAAAACTTCACTGTAGTTCAGTTCATTTGAAACCTAGATAACCCCTGACGTGACATACGTAAGATTCTGCCTGGATCATCATATTGATGATATGCAATGTTAGTAATGGGATAATTTATAATAATTTTAATGTTGCGACTATACGTACTTTTTCTTGGCCTTTTCAGCCCCCTCTGTGTGTGAACCTAATCCTTGTTTGAATGGTGGCAATTGTAGTGATACTGGTAACAACACGTTCAATTGCACATGCCCTCCCGGAATTGGAGGTGTAAACTGTACTGAAGGTATGTACAGGCATATTTACTCAAAAGCAAATTTACAATGCCCTGTTTCTCGATGGTTTGCGACTGTTACGCCATTTCGGTTGCTGAGCAAAACATCGGTATTGAGGAGATGTTTAATCAGTCATAATATCAATGTGGCTCGCACAAACATGAAAAGACCTTGAATATATAAAAGCTTTATCCATCTAGAGTCCTTAGAAATGGTGAATTTAGCTTTTTTTTTTTTTTTCTTGAAATGTCTTTGAATATGTAAAGAGTCACGTGCAGGTAGTCTCGCCCTCACTGGCGTGTTATTTATTTCAGTGTTGACTGCCACCCCCACCCCTCTGATGACTTAAATAAAATTTACATGTCATTCTAAGGGAAACACCGCGGGGCCTTGAAGATTGCTTAATTGTCTTTGAAAAAAAATACCTGAAATAATGGTCTGACGTCAGTATAGCCATTGAACAATATGTGATATTTTTCAAGTAATAGCATGGTATCTTCTTTGCTACAGCGTATCATGACATTAGAGGTCAAGTTTTTCAGTTGGTGACCTCTTTAGCATGAAGCACGTATGAACATTACCGATCCGCCTCGATGAGATTCTAGTTTATTGCAGGTACCCCCCCCCCGCTTCTCCCGCCAGCATCCTATCAAGCTACCCTGACAATTAGCAACTATATCGATACACCTGGGTGGAGATAGTGTGAGAGTTAAAGCCATAACCTGCCGTGTAATATTTTGCTACACAAACTTCTTATTTTTTTATATATATTTTTACATAACTAAACAAATATATCTTGGTCTACTTTAGATATTTTGGACGAATGCATCACGGCACCTTGTAAAAACGGAGGAACGTGTCAAAATCTCCTGGGGTCTTTTGGATGTAACTGCACTGAGCAATTTTCTGGAAGGCAATGCGAATTGGGTAAGTACATTTTTCGACAGCGAAAATAACAATATATCGAAACTGGTCTATTTTTTTTAGTTCATGGTATTTCTAGAAAGTTTGGCAATATTCATTTAGTACCTACGTGTCCCTTCACTGAGATAACATCTATTTTGTTTATTTTACTGAAACATCTGTTGTTTTGTAAGACATGGTGATAGAATCATTAAGATAACGTGATTGCAAATTTGAAAAGCTGCTGCTCCTCTATGCAGAAAAAGGGCTCTGGCGAAGCACTCAAAAAGTCAGTTTTTCTAATGTACTACAGCGGTTAATTTATAGCTATCGACTCGTTGTTGATATCTAGTTAACTAAGTATTTTCTACGTTACTTTGCACTCAGCTCAGCCCAAGTCTTTTGCTTCTTTTGAATTTAACGTATTTCCTCTTTG